TTGTAAATGCTCATTCCACTTATGGTTTAGCTAGTGTTTTGAAGTTACTAAAGTAGTGCGTTTCTGCAAATATGAGAGAATATTTGTGCCTCATTTCTTTTATATATTTCAGGAAAAAGACAGCAATCATATTTCTTTATTTTTCTGCACAGCTGAAGTGCTTGCACTATATATTTATTAGTAGGTACAACCATGGCCACAGCCTATAAAATTTATTCTTGAATGGGTTTACTTCGATACTTAAAAAGGTCAATAAAATGGAGATAAACCTCCACCAAAACCCATCCCCCACAGAAAGAAAGCAAAGACGAAAGTGATTGTTCAAGAATAGAAAATGAAGAAATGTTGAATCAATGGACCCTATAAGAGTGGAAGCTGAGAGGGAATGCACATTACCATTATCACTTTATAGTACAGATACAATGATGTATATACAGCTGCAGGTGGATTTTGTTTTAATACTAGTCGTTAACACGTGCGTTGCACGAATTTTGTATTTGTTGTTGTAGAGATTAAAAGCCACGGATCAGCTAACAAAACATACAATCATCAAAAGTAAAGTGCAAGAAAATAAGACATAGTAAAGAACACAAGGATTTTTCGCCCTAACGGCCTGGATGTTCAGCCTAAGGCCTACTCACCCGTTGAACATCCACACAAAGGGATAATGTTTTAGTTCCACTAAAATCACCAAGAAGACTTATAGTGTATGAAGAANTATATAAAACCAAGGATCAAAGCCAGTTCATAGTTACACAAGGCACTCAGACAAAATCACTCAAGATTTCCTCAAAGTAAAGAATCCCTCACAAATCGACTCTGAATCCACACAAGGATACAAATCAGCCTTCCTACAAGTCACTCAAGAGATGTAAGCAAGCTATACTACACTTCAATTTACAGGAGAATCACTCTCAGAGTGCAAGAAGTAAAGAACGGCGTAAACAGTACAGAGAGAGTTCGAGAGAGTGAGTAATGAGAGAATGAATCGTCCAATATCTCAAACCCTAGTGTATAAGAGAAATCTCCAGAAGTGCCATTCATCCAACGGTTGTGGTGATTGCACTTGGTAACATCTCCACCATCCATTTAAGTAAAAAACACATCCAACTAAAGTCTATTAATCAGAAACACGTTTTATCAATAGACCACCCCCCCCCCCCCCCCCAATAACACAGCCAATGCCCATTACAACAATTAAATAGATTCAGCCCATTTTTCAGCTAGAGCCCACATCATTGTGCCACAAACTCCACAATCTCCACCTTGGTACAATGATCCAGGTTCATCTATAGTGATTCCTCTCTTATGGCATCATTTGCTCTTATTACCTGGTACACAAATCAGCAAGTATCAATGTTCAACAACTTTAAACAGTCCAAAAACTTATTTAAAGGCAGCACTTTAGTTCCAACATCAGCAATATTAAAATGAGTAGAGAT